CAGAGGATGCTCATAAGCTAGCCTGACTTAGCCTGGGCTGTGCCACAGTTGAGGCTGAGAATGGAGCCTTTCAGGGTCCTGCCAGTGAACTTGCCACTTGGAAAAAAAAAAAAACATGATCCCCTCCTCCCCCTCCAGGCAGAGTGGCACAGGTCAGGTATCAAAAGCATCCTGAGTAAAATTCAGGGCCACCAGCCTCTGACTCAGCTGGCCTTCATGGCACCCAGTGGGCCAGGAGTTCAAAGACAGCCTGTTTATGGGAAAACCGGACACAGGATAAAGTGTCTATGAGAAAATGACCTTGAACAGCATCACAGCAGGTTTGGTCTGCCGCTCCAAGACTGCCATCTTATGCTTGGGGATCCTGTGCCCCTTGGCCCACCCCTGAGTATGCCCTTCCTCCCTCCTCTTGGATTTCTGGATGCCACCTGAGGTCGAGGCTCACTCCCTTGTTGAGCCCCACCCCCCTTCTCAGGACCAGCCCCCCAAAATACCTCAGCTTTGAACCACAAACACATCTTTATCAAAGGTCATGTTAAGTCTGGGGGAAAAAAAAATTCCTGTCTGTTGGAGAAGTACAAGAAGTGAAAATAGAAGGTGACCTTCAAGGCTGCGAGTGGTGTGTACATGGGGTGTTGACAGGCCCAAGTGGGCCCTCTGTCAGCCGGGGGAGGGGCCCCCTCTCGGGCATCTGCCAGAGCTCCGCCTGGTCTGGACCAGGCTTGTCAGCACTCACTGTAAGCCTGCCTGTGGTTCTGTCATCCATGTAGGTGGGAGATGACTATCTGTTTGAGAAAGCAGAGGTCAACTTCTGGGCGGAGCCCCTGCTCTTCGTGAGACACCTCTGCCAGCACCTCTCCAGCCTCCTTTCCAAGTCCAGCTGGTGTCCCCCTGCCCCCGATGGGCTCGGTCCCCTTCAGAGGACGCTGTCGGAGCAGTGCCATCTCCTTCCTCAGCTCTTCGGAGAGCTGCCACCTGCCGCGGAGTTTGTGAAGACAGTGGAGTTCACCAGACTGCGCATTCAGGAGGAGAGGACCCTGGCCTGCCTGCAGCTGCTGGCCCTTCTAGAAGGAAAAGAAGGAACCCCTTGGTCCTCGATGCTGCAGGCTCTTCTCCGCAAGCGAGTGTGCTAACTCTTCACTGGACAGAGAAAGGGCAGTTAATGCCAGAAGACTGGGGGCTGGGGAGGGTCTGCAGCGGCTCCCGCGGTAAACCTGGCACAAACACACTGAACAGAAAGTCCAGTGTTTTCCCCGTCAGGCCTCCCTCGCCTCTGTGGGGCTAGTCTTCTTGTCACTTCTTTCCAAGGAATATTTCTTCAGCTCATTCATTCAGTTTATTGCAGCTACTGTAGGAAGTGAGGCTGCTGCACTGTTCCCAGGTGCAGGCCACCTGCAGGCCTGAAGGAGCCCTAACAACCAGCCAGCGGCCACCCAGCAATTTCTGAGTGCCCTGCACAGAGCTGGCAGCACTGGAGCCCCACCTACAAGCCCCGCCCCCGTCCTGGCTCAGGTAGGGGCTGGATTCATTGGCATCCAGCCCATTCGGTCAGGTTGCTAAGTTTTATTCCATTTTAGCAAAGCAGAAATATGTTCCAAGTGTTGGATCCTGGAAGAATTAAGTAAGGTTCAACTTCATACAAACGATTTTTGGGTGTGTGTGTGTGTGTGTGTGTGCCTGCCTGTGTGAGTCCTGCAGTAACCAAAACATTCCATCGTGATTATTCAAAGAGCCATTGAGAGTTCTGCCTGACCACTGCCTCCCTCCACCACCACTAACTCCCCACCCCCCATACTTCTGCTCATGCTGAGAAACCTGGTTTTGCCACTTGGTGAAAGCATAGATGCTTGGCTATTGGAAGCAACCTGAGGGAAGAGAGCCAGAATAAATGACGACTTGAAGCCTGTACTGTTTATCATCATTTGCTTGGTTGCAACAAGAAGATTCTCTTAAGACACCAGTAAACACAGTTGTCCATTTCACTGATCTAATCTGGAAACTTTAAGGGTTTTCTGTTGTTCCAAGTCCAGCCCCGATCCTCCTCACACAGCCAGCAGGTGGCGCCCTTGCACACATTTTGTTGCTGATCTTTTTCTTTGGCTTACATTTTTAATCTATAATTTGAGAATAAATGCTTCCCACGTATTTGCTATCCGAAGATTCATAGCTTAGATGGCTCACAGCCTTATCCACATGCATTTTTTTTCATACTAGGTATCTGGAAAAGACTTTTGGTGATAGCATAAAAACCAATTCCAGCTTTTTAGGTTCTGTATTTTAAGATGAGTGGGACATTTTGATTTTTTTTTTTTTTGCAAGAGTGTCTGAAAGTGCAGGTTAGAGAAGAGAATGTTCATTTCCTGGTGCAGAACAGGTGGCGTGATCTGTCTCCCAAAGGCAAACCAGTTGCCTCCCCTGAAAATGCAGCCATTCCGAAGCATGAAGGGCTTCAGAAAGTGAACTCAGCATCCAAAGTTGTGTCCTAAAGAGAACAGGAAATTCCCTGGGTGGTTCTGCAACCAGTCAGCCCGAAATGTGGTTTTTCTTCTTCTTCTTTTTTTTTTCCCCTGTGATCCTGAAATAATTACCTAGTTAAGCTTCTGTGTAGCCCACACCTGAGGGAAAGCTGCCAGCCTGACACTTCTTGTTTTGTGCTAAGACCTGCTTGGTGAGAAGGCTGGGGACTTCAGTGGCATAACGCGGTGATAAGTGCAGAATAATCAAGAAAGCCCAGCCCGTTGGCAAAGGCCAGTGCACTCGAGTCTTACACTTCAAGTGAAATAAAAGCAGTTACGTAATGACAGAAATATTTTATACTCGCAGGTGCTCTGTCTCGAAGCATGGACCTAAATTGTTCCCGCCTTATCTCCAGAACCCTTCCACCAAGCCTGCACAGTGGGTGTTCTCATGGCTGCCTGGGAATTGCCCCAGATTCGGATCTCCGCTGGCTACAGCCAGCCCAGGAGGGCAGGAGGAACACACTTTTCCACTGGGTTTGTATCTGAAATCGCGTTAACTCACCTAATGGCTGTGGTTAGGGAAATGGCTGTTCTACACCCTTGCTGGTGCTTTCCCAGGACACCATCAGAAAGCGGGACTCCCGGGCCACCCTCAAACTCTCAGCAAAGCAGTGTCCACCACACTTGGCCAGCCGTGTGGGGTCCTGCAGGTGGTTTGCACAAGTATTCACCTCTTCCAGATCTCTCACCTGCACCCCTCCCCTCCTGGCTCTAGGTTCCCCCCAGTTCTGCACTGCTGATTCGGGGACCCCTATCCACATGGCTTGGCTCTCTTTTTAGGCTTTATAACTTAGATGGTTTGCACTTGTTGATCTACACAACAGTAGATACCTCATTTGCACCATAACAAAGGTGAGAGATGAGTAAAGCATGAATTTTTATTTTCGTTTTATAAGCGGGAGAAACACAAGCGTATGATCTGCCCCCAAGAACACCGGCTGCTGCTGCACAAGAGATGACCTTGGACTCTGACTCCCGGCTGGGGAGGGGGCCGTGAGGGTGCTGCAGCGGGAAAGGCCCACTGGGTTCAGAGCCACTTCCCTGAGCGGCCCGCCTAGCTCATTCTCTTCTGGGTTAACTGACGCAATGAGCAGCCAATGGCACGGAATGAGTGCAAACAGAGTAAACAGCCGTTTAGGAAGGGGTCGTGGGTCCCATCAGGTGCTTTCTCTGGATCTTCCCGCTTAGGACCAGTCGGGGTCTGGACTGCCAGGTGGGCAAAATCGCGGAAGTGCTCCAGACCGGCCTCCACTGGGCACTGGGCTCAGACGGACACGGCGCACCCTCTGGCAGGCCGCCATTTCTCGACGCGAGCTGTTGGGGCGTGGAGCTGGTGAACGAAGGGGGTGCCCCACCGGGGCCGCAGGGTCTGGCTCGGCCTCACCCGTTGGCTGGGCTCGGTGCTCCCCCACCCCGCCCCGCTCCGCCAGGCAGGGGACGGAAGCGGCCCGCAGTGCGCCCCCAGCCGAGGCTGCGCTGGGCAGGGACCCTCGCAGGGCAGCTGCACCCCAACCCTTCCCGCCCTCCCCCAGGGAGGGCTGGGGAAGACCCCGCCGGAAGAGCAGAGCGAGGAGGCCTCCTGGCCTGCAGGGTTCACCCAGCTTTGCTTCCCCGCCTGCGGCTCTGCTCCCCCTCCCGGGACGCCCCGCGCGCCACTCCACGCCTTTGGCCCCGGCTCAAGGTCTTGTGATGTGATTAGCAAAGCCAGCGCCTTGTCCTCAGACACAGCCCAGCCCGGCAGGCCTGGGCGCTCGGGCCCTGTTTACTGAGCCAGGGCGGGGAGAGGGGCGGAGAAACGGGCTCGGGCAACCTCTAGGCAAGACGGCGGCCGCCCGCGTGGCCGCTCCCGCCCCTACCCCCACCGCGCCTCCACGTGCAGCCGGGTCGGGGACTCAGCACCGGGAGTCCCCGCCCTCCGTCCCCCAAACACCCTTTGCAAACCAGACGGGCCTCGCCGACAGTTGGCAAGCGGCTTGTATTTTGCAATTCCCTTACCCTGTACAAAAACTAAGGATGAGTGATCACAACTCCCTCCCCAAGTCGGCCCTAACAGGAGCGGGCGGGGAAAAGACAAGTCGGGGGGGGGAGGGGGAGGGCTGCACGGCCCTGCTCACGCTAAACGCGCTGGCTGGGGGCTTCCCAACTCGGGGACCCCCCCCCCGCCACAGGACAAGAGCCGCCGCCACCCAGCAGCACCCAACAGGGCCGAGCTCCCCAGCGCTGCCAGCCCAGGGCGCCCCGGCAGCCTCCCCGCCCCGAAGCCTCCCGCTCTACTTCCTCCTCCCTTCTCCCTCCCCCAGGAAAAAAAAAATTGGCGGCGGCCAATGGCAAGGCGGGACGGTGCCTGACGTTGCCCCCACCCAGCCCCAGCCGGCGTTGCCTGGAGACCCCGGCGGGGTCAGCGCTCCGTCCCCGCCCCCGGGCTCTCGCGGGCTCTATATAGGGCGCGCGCTCGGGGGCCGCCGAGTTCCAGCAGTCCGCGAGCTGCCGTCGGCTGGGCGCGGGGGGCGGGGCGGGCCGGCACCCCGGGGCGCGGCGCGGCGGAGCGCGCCCGGCTTCTCTCTCCCTCTCTCTCTCTCCTCTTCCGCCGCACTCGGCAGTCCCAGGGCGGCCCCCGCTCCGCTGCTCCACGCCGCTCTCTCCTCTCTCGGCCCCGCAGCAGCCAAACAAACTTTTCGGTCCCTGCCCGCTCCTCGCCCCGTTATTCGTCGTGGCTCGAGGCCGGCCGCGCCGCCCCGAGGGCTCCTCCCGACCTCCCCGCCTGCACCTCCGAGCTTTCGCGGACCCAGAAACATGTCGACCACACTTCTGTCCGCCTTCTACGATATCGACTTCTTGTGCAAGGTACGCGTCGGGGGGGAAGAGCAGGGAGGCGGGCGGGCGGGCCAGCAGGGGCTCCTCGCCTTCACTCTTGGAGTGGGGGAGCAACCCCGGAGCTTTGCAGCCCGGTGTGCTGGAGCCCGGTGGGCGGGGAGGGAGCCGCGGCGGTGGCTATGGCCGTGGAGTTCTCTGCCGAGCCGGCTGCGGCGGCCACGCTGCCCGGGGCTTCCCGGGCGGCGGCGGCGTTTTTGCACCGCCCACCCAGCGACCCACCGGCTGCGGATCACATGTCGGGAGCGCGGCGCGGCAGGGCTGGGCGGCGTCCACCCTCGCCAGCTTGCTGCTTTTCGCGCGTGTACGGGTGGAGCAGGGCAGAGGCCGAGTCAAAACCCGCAAAAAAAAAAAAAGAAAAAGATGGGGTGGAGCGGGGGGTGGGGGGGGCTATCAGAAAGCCGGGGTTTTGCTGTGCCTTTGCCTTCCCCTCTCCCTTCCGTTGTTCAACCCTTCTCCTCTCTGTCCCCTTTGGCAGACGGAGAAATCCCTGGCGAACCTCAGTCTGAACAGTATGCTGGACAAGAAGGCGGTGGGGACGCCCGTGGCTGCCGCCGCCCCCGCCCCCAGCTCGGGCTTCGCGCCCGGCTTCCTCCGACGGCACTCGGCCAGCAACCTGCACGCACTCGCCCACCCCGCGCCCAGCCCCGGCAGCTGCTCGCCCAAGTTCCCGGGCGCCGCTAACGGCAGCAGCTGCGGCAGCGCGGCGGCGGGGGGCGGCCCGGCCTCCTATGGCGGCCTCAAGGAGCCGTCGGGGGGCGGCGGCGCAGGCACGGCCCTGCTCAACAAGGAGAACAAATTCCGGGACCGCTCGTTCAGCGAGAACGGCGAGCGCAGCCAGCACCTCCTCCACCTGCAGCAGCAACAGCAGCAGCAGCAACAGCAGAAGGGGGGCGGCGGCTCCCAGATCAACTCGACCCGCTACAAGACCGAGCTGTGCCGGCCCTTCGAGGAGAGCGGCACGTGCAAGTACGGCGAGAAGTGCCAGTTCGCGCACGGTTTCCACGAGCTGCGCAGCCTGACGCGGCACCCCAAGTACAAGACGGAGCTGTGCCGCACCTTCCACACCATCGGCTTCTGCCCCTACGGGCCGCGCTGCCACTTCATCCACAACGCAGACGAGCGGCGACCCGCGCCGTCGGGGGGCGGTGCCTCCGGGGACCTGCGCGCCTTCAGCGGGCGCGATGCGCTGCACCTGGGCTTCCCGCGCGAGCCGCGGCCCAAGCTGCACCACAGCCTCAGCTTCTCGGGCTTCCCGTCCGGCCACCACCAGCCTCCGGGCGGCCTCGAGGCCCCGCTGCTGCTCGACAGCCCCACGTCGCGCACGCCGCCACCGCCCTCCTGCTCCTCGGCCTCGTCCTGCTCCTCCTCCTCCGCCTCCTCCTCCTCGTGCTCTTCGGCCTCGGCGGCCTCCACGCCCTCGGGCGCCCCGACGTGCTGTGCCTCGGCGGCGGCGGCGGCCGCAGCGGCAGCCGCGCTGCTCTACGGCACGGGGGGCGCCGAGGACCTGCTGGCCTCCGGCGGCGGCCCCTGCGCCTCCTGCTCGGCGGCCTCGTGCGCCAACAACGCCTTCGCCTTCGGCCCGGAGCTGAGCAGCCTCATCACGCCGCTCGCCATCCAGACGCACAACTTCGCCGCCGTGGCGGCCGCCGCCTACTACCGCAGCCAGCAGCAGCAGCAGCAGCAGCAGGGCCTGGCGCAGCCCCCGGCGCCGCCCAGCGCGCCCCTCCCCGCCGCGCCGCCCTCGCCGCCCTTCGCCTTCCAGCTGCCGCGCCGCCTGTCCGAGTCGCCCGTGTTCGACGCGCCCCCCAGCCCCCCGGACTCGCTGTCGGACCGCGACAGCTACCTGAGCGGCTCGCTGAGCTCCGGCAGCCTCAGCGGCTCCGAGTCGCCCAGCCTCGACCCTGGCCGCCGCCTGCCCATCTTCAGCCGCCTCTCCATCTCCGACGACTGAGGCAAGAGGGCGCCAGTGAGGAGGAAGGGAAGGGGAGGCCGCTCTGGGGGTGCTAGTTGCAGGGCGCGCCCCCCTCCTCAGTCCCCTGCCAGCAGCACCGCCACCACCCCGCTGGAGTTCCCGAGGGGTGGGGGGGGACTTAGGGGGGCGGACAGAGGCCTTGGCCCCACCGAGCACTTGGGACTCGAACTCCCCGTGCGAGGGAGGAGGGGGCTTGCACCTCCTCCCCCCGCCCCTTTTCGGTTTCCTCTCTTTTTGTTTGTTTTATTATTATTATTATTTTTATTATTATTACAAAGTTTCACGTCTTGTTGAGCAACGGAAAAGCCAACGAACTTTTTTGTATGGATGAACAAGAAACTCGCAACAGGGCAGTTGTGATGCGAATAGAACAAAAAAAAAAAAGAAAAACCTTGAAACTGTTTTAGGTCTCTGAGTTTGGGGCTCCAGGAAAAAAATAACAGCCCAACACCAGCAGCTGCCAGCCACCATTCCATGTCTTCACTTGAAATACCTTCCTTCCAGTCCAGATGTGGCCTGCCTCCCTCGAAGGCCCCAACTGTGAGACCAGCCAGCCACCACCTTTACTAACCAATAAGCTTTTAGAAACCCACACTCTGCCAAGAATATGCCTTGATGGGAACCCGTACTTAACCCCATGGGGTTTTCTTTTTTTTTTAAGCATAGTTAGGTATTTGGGGAAAGAAAAAACCTTGCATTCCAAAGTTTCCTACTGGTTTGGGGTTCCTTGCCATCACTCTGGCTGTTTAGTTTAGACCCATTTTTGTCTGCTCTCTCTGGAAGTCTTGGCCAGAGCTTTGTAATTGTTGGGGAATAACTGCTGAATTTTTAGCTGTTTTGAGTTGATTCGCACCACAACTCATGAAAACTATTTAACTTATTTATTATCTTGTGAAAAGTATACATTGATAATTTTGTTCATACTGTATTTATCAAGTATGATGAGAAGCAATAGATATATATTCTTTTATTATGTTAAATTATGATTGCCATTATTAATCGGCAAAACGTGGAGTGTATGTTCTTTTCACAGTAATATATGCCTTTTGTAACTTCACTTGGTTATTTTATTGTAAATGAGTAAAACAAATCTTAATTTAAGAGATTGTATGTTAATATTTATTTCATTAATTTCTTTCCTTGTTTACGTAAATTTTGAAAGATTGCATGATTTCTTGACGGAAATCTACCTTGATGCTGTGGAAGTAGTTGTGAGGAATATCCTATGAGTTTTCTTAGAATGTATAATGGTTGCAGCCCATCCAGGTGTAAAGAAAAAGATGACCACACTGCTGCAAGCAGGCTCCAGTGTGGCATGCTTTTCTAATTCCAACTTTATAGCAAAAAAGTCTTGTTTAGTTCACCAGTTCTACTGTGATATGCTGTTGAATATACAGACATTGTAGCAATAATGGGGGGGGGTAGTCTCCCAGTGCCTTTGGAAGGGCCCGAACTTGCCTTAAATCTTCCTCAACCAAATAAGTATTTTGTTTATTAGTGCTTGAGAGAATCTGAATGTAGGATGGGTTCAACTGCACAAAAGGAACAGATTTTTACCACTTTTTTTTTTTATATCTAGAAAGTGAAGATGCCACCTCTTTCGCGCTCATGGTATCCAGGACAAGTCTATGCCTTGTGTCATTACAGAGAATTCCCAAACTTGTACTAGGGTGTTTTTTTTTTTCCGTGTAGAGAGGCGCGGGGACATTTCCCATGCTTTCCTGGACAGCGGATGAATGAGCAGGCGCGCTGGTGTGCCTAGGTACAGACAGGTGGATGCGGCGCGCCGCGCTACTCATGGACTACTTCGACAGAAGTAGGTGTTTGAATGTAACCAGAAGTCAACTTGAGTTGTAATATATTTTGGGGAATCAGTTCACTACAAATTGTGACTGTTAACATTGTACTGTAAATGTTTTGTAGTTTTGCCCCAATAAAATTTTTTTGAAAAAAAAGGGCAGCGTGCTAATGACCTTTTATTCATGTTAGTCCACCACCTCCCTGGTTTTGGGGAGAGAGTGCTGGCAGAGGCGGGGTCCCGGAAGAGCTTTCAAAGGCTGAACCTGTGGCTCTGCCTTGTGCATTCCTTCAGCTCAAAGAAAATAATTGGGACTCTTGACGATCCCGCGGGTGAGCTAACTGTTCCCATTGCTAATAAGACGCATCCCAGTGTTGGCCAACTGGTTGGTGGGTGGAGCCGGGCGGGAGACCTCAAGGGGTGTGGCCTCCATGAGTCACGTGGCAGCTGAACTTTTTTTTTTGTCTTTTTTTTTTTTTTTACCCCCACACACAGACATACATACACTCGGAGCAGAACCGCTTGGGTGGGGAAAGGGAGAAGGCTGGGTGCTGGGGCAGGGACGAGAGCGCCAGGCCAGTTTGCCTGGGTTGCATTGGACAAGGGTGGTTTTTCCGAAAGCCTGCTGGTGTCCTTGCTGGGAGTGGAAGGGAAAGGCGGAGTGAACAGGTTCAGCCTCGACCATATTTGTTTATGCAGACACCTTCCTCTGGGAGTGAGCACAGACTTATTTATGCAGGAGGAATTTGTGTCTTGAATGTGTCTCTTAAGTGGCCAGAAAGCTCGTTTCCACTGAGGTCTGGGAGAAGGAAGACAGCACAGACTGGCCTGCACATTCTCGGGGGAACAAACCTTGTGTGGCTCCTTAACACTCTGAAAACTTAGAAAAATGAGGTTCATAAGTCATATTTTTCCTTCTCCATCCCACTTCCCACACACAGGCCCCATCCCAACACTTTTTCCAAAGGAGCTAAGAGATTTAGCAATGGTTTACTAGGTTATCTGCAACAGCTGGGCCTTATCAACCCCTGCCTGCCCTACCCCCTCCTGCCGGGCCGGCCCCAACCAGGGTCTCGGTGAGTCACAGCTGAGGCGGGTAGAGGGGATGGGTGGTGCGTGCTGCTGCAAACCGGGGCCTGGGGCAGCTGGTTCGCGTTAACGATGATTGCCTGGTGTTAACTGGAGCGTTTTGGGGCTTGGCGCACTCTGCCAAAGGGGCTGGAAACCCAGCCACGAGGGGACCTGCGGGGGAGGGGAAGCCCCAGGGCCTCGGAGAGCTCTGGCAGGGCGAAGACCCCTGCCGGCCCCCTGGCCTTTACACCACAAAGAATGTGCAGCGGGGAGGAAAAACCCCCAGTGTGGCGCGATTTAGGCCAAACTGCATTTCAAAGGCCTTGTTTTCACTCCATTCCAAAACTTACTTTTCTAAACAAGTACTTTGCATCGGCTGGAATGTTAAGACTTCATTTTTAAAAAACTGGTTTTCTGGAAAGCCCAACTGCTAGGATCTCGGGTTTTTATATTTTAGATCCTGCGGGGCAGAGAAAGCCGGGGTGGGTTGGTGGGCAATTTCCTCTTGCTGCAGCTCAGTGGCGGGGAGCGCTGTGGGTCCGTCTGCTGCGCCTGGCTGCGGTGAACAGCAAGCACAACGCCCCTTCGGAAAGGTTTGGTTTTTGGGGTTTTGTTTTTGTTTTTTTTGTTTTTTTTGTTTTTTGGTAAGTGAAGGAAATAGAAACACAAATTGCAAGCGGGCATCAGACTGGGGAACTGAAGATGGGAACTAAAGCTGGCTGTGGCTCCAAGACAGTCCAGATAATCCTTTTCTGTTCGGTGGGGACAAGGCTCCCCCGCCCCCACCGCCCCCCCCCCGGGGGGCTGGTGCTCTCAGTGCTACTTTGTAGTGGCAACTTTCAGGTCTTTGCAGAAGAAGGGGTGTTTTTAAACAAACCCACTTAGTATGTATCACCTTCTGAATTATGTCAGATAAACGACGTTGGCCCGTGCCTAATTTCCACTGCTGATGATGTGCGCATCTAGGGCTAAATGTGTGAAAGGAGAGAACACACACAACTTTGAAAAGGCCACAGGAGAGTAGACGCAGGGCTATGAGCCCTGGGACATCTGAAGGACCCAGATGGCAGGACTAGGCTTGGTGGCTGTGAAGCATGGCCCCTGGCTGCCAGGTGTGGCCCAGCACTAGTGCTTAACCTGGCCTGGAAAGGGAAGGATCCCTCAGGGAGAACTCAGCATCATCTATCAGAGCACCGGTTCAAGTCCCGGTTGCTCTGCTTTCCCATCCAGCTCCCTGCTAAGGTGCCTGGAGGGCGGTGGGTGGTGGTCCGAGTGCTTGTGCCCCCGTGACCACGTGGGAGACCTGGAAGGAGCTCCTGGCTCCTGGCCTGACCCAGTCCTTGCTGGTGTGGCCATCTGGGGAGTGAACCATCAGACAGATCTCTCTTCCACTTTCTCTCTCTCTGCCTTTCCAACAAGTAAACTTTGAAAAAAAGAAAAGGAAAACCCCAGCCAAGCATGTGCTGGAGGAAGCCCTTCACCTTTTGGGGAGCTGTCCCCTGGCACCATCTCCAGGCCAGTTTATTTGTGGTGATGAACGGGGGGGGGGATGTGACTGCCACCAAGTCGGCTTGAAACCGGAAGTTGCCCAGCCCTGAGAGGCTGGTTGGCTGCTGGCTTCAGGCTGGGCAGGTGCACCTCCTGCAGGGCCCGCTGGCTCCTCTCCATGGCTGCAACCTCACTTAGCAGTAGTTCTGTTTTCTTGTTCACACTCCCAGGGAGATGGGCAGCGCCGTGGTCATCCAGGACAGTTCCAGTTCCCTGCTGCCAGCAAAGTCAAGGAGAAAGGGAGGAGGGAAAGAGGAAGGGGAGGGTGGGGCCAGGGCCCTGTGGGGGCTGGGCAAGCCTTCTTCCCCGGCTGAGCCCTGCACAGCTGGAAGCTTCCGTTCTGGACCTGGTCTGGACCTGGCAGTCTTGGCTATTTCAGGATGTGCATGGGGGACAGGGGAGGTGAATGGAGCTGAGCCTGTGTGCTTGTATATCTGTGTGAGTGCACATGCGTGTGTGTGCATGTGTGTGTATGTGCGTGTATGTGTGAGATATGCAGCAGATACCAGGCTGAGTGTGTGTGCATGAATGCATTATATGCAGCAGGTCTTGGGCAGTGTATGTGTGTAAATGTGTGATATACAACAGGCTGTGTGTGTGATATGCAGCAGGTCTTGGGCTGTGTGTGTGTTCTGCACATGGATGTGGAGCTGTTTCTGGAATCTGTGGGTGTGTTTGTTATAATGTGGAAGTTGAGTGTGTCTGTAGGTGAATGTTGTAATGTGGAGGTTGCGTCTGTTTGTAGCTGTATGTGTAGGTATACACGGAGGGTACTTCAAAAAAAGGAGATTTCAGAACTCTTGGTGCCAAAATAAACTTATCTGTAAATTCCATTTTCCATGAGCTTGTTGACTAGGTGGATGTGTGTGTGTGTGGTTTGGGTGTGCATGGCTGCAGGGGTGTGGGTTTGGGTGAGTATGTATGTGGCTGCGTTTGGGTCTGGGTGTGTGGAGTATTCCTGGGGGGTGGGGGTTTTACCAACATCCAGAGAGGAAACATAGGCCTCTTTCAAGTTTAGAAACTGCATTCAAAACCCGGAAATGAGGCCAGCCTGTCTTCCGCTTCCTGCAGGACAGGGGGCAACCCAGAGCCAGGTGGGAGGGCAGCCGGATAACTCCCCCTACCCACAAGGCCTTCAGGGACCTCAGGTCCACCTTCACTGCCAGGCACACCTGCCCAGGCTTGGCTATTGCAATGCCTGCCTGCCTGCCTGGCTGCAACATTTTTAGAAACAACTCTTTGGGGGTGGGGAGAGTGGGGGCCCCTTTTATGTTCATCTGGGCAGAAATAGCTCTTGTCAGATAGGAGTTCTTGTACCCCAGGGAGAGGCGGCTCCGAAATAGAAGGCAAGATATTGAGGACTCGAGACAGACCAGAAAACTCCCCGAGCTGGCCGAAACTAAGTCTAAAATATTTCTCTAAAAATAAGCTTTGTTTTCCTTGCAGATTCCTCTCCGTTCTCGTGTCGGGGTGCTTAGCTGGCCTGTGAGGCTGGGCAGATTTTTATTTTTTTGCTTTAAGCGAGTGTTTCCCAGCTGTGGCCTTGGAAAGTTCTGTTTCCCATTTATGAAACTCCTCATTTCCGGCTAATGAAAATTATTTTCAAATCAAAGTCCATGGCCTGGCCACATTTGATGGAACACAGAATTCCCAATGACCTCCCCACAGGGGCCATGGAGGGTGTGCGGTGGCCTATATCCCCTTGGCTGATTTCATGGGGAGGAAGATCCGGTCTTTGGAAACACAGGGCGAGGAGCTCATCTTCTGGAATCCTACCGCCAGCGGCACCTGCTCCCTGGGGACTGCTCCCAAGTGGCCAGGCAGGGGCTGCTGGCTAACTGGGAACCTGTTCTGTGCACAGTGATGACCTGGTCAGCATGAGGGAGTGGGAACTTGGTTGAGGTTTGTGACCCCATGGCTC